TCGAGAGGTCCTTGGTTCAACTCCGAGTGTGCCCTGCTTATCTTTTTTGAGGCTTTTTCTTTTGTTAGGTGTTATGAGTCCTTAATCTAAGTAATTAGTTTCTCCATCAGATTGTAGCAAGCAGAGTGGCGCAGCGGAAGCGTGCTGGGCCCATAACCCAGAGGTCAATGGATCGAAACCATCCTCTGCTATTATTTTTTCATTTTGTTCGTGTGGATACTCCTTTTCTAAGAATTCGCAAACTCCATTGCAGCCTTACCCCCCCCCCCCCACACCCCCCGCTTGTTGCGGGAAAAAATTGCAGCCCTATCCCCTAATATCAAGAGTCCATAACCAAGAGTGTGCAACGTGCGATAGGGTCTTGTCACGACTCTTTTTCAACATTACGTCATTTTCATGTACATTTTCATGTAGCGAATGTCGCGGCCTGCACGCGCGGCTACATGAAAATGACGTAATGTTGAAAACGAGTCGTGACAGACATTTATGTAGCATTGCACACTCTGGGCCATGGGGGTTATGGACTATCGCTAGTATGCATTTACAAATAACTTCTCTCAATCCGAACACTAGTGGTGAAACAAATGTCAAAACCTACTAGCCGAATATTCTTTGGCTTAACGGACGAATGAACGAATAATCTTTTGGTAACAGAGATGACATCACATGCCCTCCTCCCAGTCGTTTGATGGATACTGTCATTATTATTAGGTATGACAAACCGTAGTGCCACATAAAATGTACTGCCACATAAGGCTACTTCGAAGTTCATACATGTTATGTGCACCATTGGCAGTCCAGTATGGACATACATGTGCATGCATACAGTACAAAGTGCCAGGCAGGCTGTACACACTGCACTGTGCCGTGTTCGGCGTGCATGTAGGTACAGGCACTGCATTCGAAGTGACGTAACGAATACTCGAATGTGACTTAACGAATATTCGAATGTGACAAACCGAACGAATGTTCGAATATTCGAATATTCGTTTCCCCACTACCGAACACACTCCGGTAAAATGGGGGAGCGGGGTGCATTTCCTCTTCCAAAAAGCGGTTGGAATCTCGGATTTGTGTCAGGACAGCCATAATCAGTTAGTTAGTGGTGTACTTACTGGCTGTACTGCTGCACAACCTGTCAATACAATGCTACAGGTGAAAACAAGAGAGAAAGAAAACTACCCGTCCATCACAAAAGGAACAACAACTAACCAGAAAGGGAAACATCGAAGAAACAAGTAGCGCGAGCGAAAGCCAAACACCCATCCTCTGCTATTATTTTTTCATTTTTTTCGTGTGGATCCTCCTTTTCTAAGATTTCGCAAACTCCATTGCAGCCCTATCCCCCCCCCCCCCCCCCCGCTTGTTGCGGGAAAAAATTGCAGCCCTATCCCCTAGTATCAAGAGTCCATAACCAAGAGTGTGCAACGCACGATAGGGTATTGTCACGACTCGTTTTCAACATTACGTCATTTTCATGTACATTTTCATGTAGCGAATGTCGCGGCCTGCACGCGCAGCTACATGAAAATGACGTAATGTTGAAAACGAGTCGTGACAGACATTTATGTAGCGTTGCACACTCTGGGGGTTATGGACTCTTGGTAGTATGCATTTACAAATTACTTCTCTCAATCCGAACACACTCCGGTAAAAAGGGGGAGGGGGTGCATTTCCTCTTCCAAAAAGCGGTTGGAATCTCGGATTCGTATCAGGACAGCCATAAACAGTTAATATTAGTGGTGTACTTACTAGCTGTACTGCTGCACAACCTGTCAATACAATGCTACAGGTGAAAACAAGAGAGAAAGAAAACTACCTGTCCATCACAAAAGGAACAACAACTAACCAGAAAGGGAAACATCGAAGAAACAAGTAGCGCGAGCGAAAGCCAAACGCTCTCGTCAGGAGAACGTGCACGTACACGTGCGCCTACAATGCACCCACAGCAGCACAAACGGAGCCAACGTACTACACTAATCTACATGCATCAAATAAGGAATCCAAAAAGCAACCGAAAAGTAGCCAAATTTGCAGAAGGATACGCGACTGAGTACAGTGCGCGTAGCCATGGAGCCTCATGTCGAGTCATGACGTCAACCAAACTAAACCCAGAAAAGCCGTACCACATAAATCGAAACATAAATAAACCGAACGCAAATTCAAACAACAAACTAGTAAGCTAACGATAAACTAGTAACACTGAGACAATTCGACTGTCACAAATTACAACAAAATCACATGCAAGAAGTCCTTTCACTTTGTCCACCGCTCGTTGCGTGACAGACAGAAGGAAAAGGCTGTTAGCCAAGGATGGTCACAAGTTTGTTACTTTCGAAATACAAGCCATCTGTTGGGTTATGGGGCCCGGCTGAAAATGACATTGCCGCGCCTGACTGGATAGGGTCTATTTAAAGTTAAATTCATGTTTTGGATGCACAAACTCTCGAATTGTCACAGAAATTGAAAGGAAACAGATGTAGTGGGAAGTTTAGAGGGATTGTCTGCATGCCGTCTTCAGGCAGGATCATTGTTAGCTGTGAACTGGATCATCTCCAGGTACTTCGTATTCTTCTTGATGTTTTCTATCTGTCAGTTTGTAGACTTCCTCCAAAAAATAGTTTGTACTCTTTGCAGCTTGAATGCTGAAGAAGAAGAAAAAATAATAAATTATCATTAGCAGAGGATGGTTTCGATCCATCGACCTCTGGGTTATGGGCCCAGCACGCTTCCGCTGCGCCACTCTGCTTTCCACGATGTTTCTAGTAGAAGCTAGACACAAGAATATGTCTGCACAGTACAACAGGCAAAAGGGCAAAAATTCGGGAAAAAACTTCCAGCAGGGCACACTCGGAGTTGAACCAAGGACCTCTCGATCTGCAGTCGAATGCTCTACCACTGAGCTATATGCCCTAACCATGCGAGGTTGACTGCTAAGTTAGGTCACCAATCATATTCATTTTACCTTCCCGCCATACCTAATAATTGGAGTTGATGGCATACTCGCATATAATATGGTGGTGGTTGTATAGAGCATTATTTATTATTATTATTATTACACAATCACGATGACATAGTGCCAATAAGCATGTGATGCGGGCGATTTTAACCAGCCATGGTGGGGACAACTGAGAAAAAGAAGGAGAAGAAAAAGAGAAAAGAAAAGAAAACAAAAGGAGTACTATAGGAACCTGGAGAGAGCAGTATGAAGATTAGGCTAGCAATGGAAAACAACGAATTCAATTCAATTCAACTTAGGCGCGGGCAGAATGGAACAAAATGCAGCGAAGGTGTCACGAGACTTTACCTCCTGCGGAAGCCGAGACCAATGAGAATAGGACTTGAACAGAGGGGATTTTAAAAGGATCGATGACCTGGCAAGTGGGAAATGGAGAGAACATCTAGTACGCGAGCTATTATTGAACCAGCTTAAATGCGCAAGTGCATGAGGAGGAGCAAGTTGAAGCTTAATACGGTGAATGAATTTGCATGCCGAGTGAGGAAAGCGTTCTGAGAGGGGGGAAGAGGAAGCCAAAATGTATAGCGTCTGAGAGGAGGTCAGAGGGGGCATGCGAAATATTAATCGAAGTAATTTACGGTGGGTGACTTCTAACCGATGCATAAGAGCGGAGGATAGACCGGAGGACCAAACGAGAGAGCAGTAATCAAACAAAGGAAGAACATAAGAGTGATAAATTTGTATTCGACAACCATGGTGTAGATGGGAGATGTGAGGAGAAATGCAGCCTATCGCTGAGCAAACTCGCTTTTCAATATAGGTTACGTGCGAATCCCAGGACAAGTGTTCATCAAGAAATATACCAAGGTGTTTGTGATTTTTAACAATGTTGATAGCAATGGGATCATCAGGGAAAGTAAAAAGCCGAGTCGTAAAGAGGGTGAGGTCACTGGAGGGTCGTGGGGGGATACAAAGGATTGCCGTTTTCGACACATTGGGGCGGAGTTTCCACTTCGACATCCAGCGCACAACTTGATTAATGTGATACTGTAGCGAGTCGCAGGCTTGCAATAAGCCTGGCTCGGTTATATGGAGCGCTGTATCGTCCGCGTAGAGTGACGTATGATCCAAACCTGCCAAATCATTAACGTATACGATGAACAATAGAGGCCCCAAGATAGAGCCCTGGGGCACTCCAGAGTGGGATTGCGGCTCCATCGCACCAATAGGAGTCGACTTTTTGTTGCACCCGAACGACTTCTTACTCACGACTACTCAGCCGAAATACAGTGATGATGTGTAAAAGTTAAAATCCAACATCCTGACTAGAACAAAGCCGCATGCACTACACCGATCAGTGTGCACAGCGCTATAATATTATTCTATTGTAGGGTCGCATAGCTAACAAGGGCTGGTGTATGTACATGTATGATGTTGAATTTTACTTGCCATCGCTGTGTATACTATTACATGTACTGGTAGTTATTTACCGGCAAAATATTTGTGCATATTATCATGTGAAGTTCACCCACAGTCTATTTTCGTGTGATGATCGATGGCAGTTCGTGAAACTCAGAGTTCCGAAAAAGCAAATGCTCGTTCTTCTGTCTGCCGTGTGCATATCATCAAACACCCTCGCGTAATTTCACCCCCAAATCTATAAAAATCAATTCAAGTCCCATCAGCAAATCGATTGGAGCACTAAAAGGTGTAAATACTTGTGTTTTCGGTATGATGTGTCTTTTGCCCCCGGTAATTGAGTGTCGCGATATGGGTTATAAAAATACACATCCATATATGGACAGGGCATATAGCTCAGTGGTAGAGCATTCGACTGCAGATCGAGAGGTCCTTGGTTCAACTCCGAGTGTGCCCTGCTTATCTTTTTTTGAGGCCTTTTTCTTTTGGTAGGTAGGTGTGTTGAGCTCTTGATCTAAGTTTCTGCCCATGAGATTGTAGCAAGCAGAGTGGCGCAGCGGGAGCGTGCTGGGCCCATAACCGAGAGGTCGATGGATCGAAACCATCCTCTGCTATTATTTTTTCATTTTTTTCGTGTGGATATACTCCTTTTCTAAGAATTCGCAAACTCCATTGCAGCCCTATCCCCCCGCTTGTGACGGGAAAAAATTGCAGCCCTATCCCCTAGTATGCATTTACAAATTACTTCTCTTAAGGAGGTTCGCGACGGTTAGCGCCATGTTGGATTTCCGATTTTTTTTCTGAAAAATAATGCCTTTCGGAGTGGAAAAATGGGACGCGATCGATCATGCACAGAAAATAGTTTGACCATGACTTCGCAGCGCGTGCTCGAGTCGAGACAAATTATTTGAGGAAGAAGCTCAGCCACTAGTGGACTTGCGGATTTGTTTTGACATTGGCGGTTTTTGGATAGCTCGGTTCTCCTGCCGACGTGTCGTGGAGATGAAGACGCGGGAGAGTAATCCGTCACCCACGACGCGGCCTCTCATTCTGCGTACTGGACGATGCAAGAAGCCGAGGAGGGGGACGCTTCGCAAACTCAAGCGATCGATCGAGTTCCTGAAAAACGGAAAGGGCGATCTCCATCACTAACGCCACTGGATTCGACTCCCGTGAAGAGGTCGTTCAGTGCCCCTCTTCACGGTCGACGAATCGTTCATCTCAGGTATCTGGCTGTGGGATTGTCTGCGTGCCAGAATCCTGGATGTGGCAAACCTCTGGCGCTCATTGATTGCGTTGAAGAGAAGAGGTACGACCTGGGCAGCGTACTTGTCATTCCGTGTCAGCAGTGTTGGATGGAGAATTTTATAGATACAGATAGCCCTGTAACTGCTCAACACCCTGGCCCCCGTGCTTCCACAAGCAACACCAAAGCTGCTTTGGGTAAGTGCGTTTTTCAATCTCATAAGATTTATTTATGATATTTGCGAGTCATTGCCACCCTATGGCTATGGAAATGTATGAGCACACTGTATGCGCGGCGGCCGCGAGTGTCTGTGTGTTTGCATAGACCTGCATGTTTGTGCATGTGTGCACCATACGCATGTATGAACATGCACATGCATATGCGCTCATGTGGACGTGCCCTCGCACACATACTATACACACGTGCATGACCGCTCCCAGGGCATGTTGGTGTGACATGTGTATGCAGGCATCTCCACTCATGCATGTGGGTGGGTACGCACACATGCGTGAATGTATGTGTGTGTACGCGCGCGTGTGTTCTATTGCGTGTGAGAGCATGCATGTGTGTGTGTGTGTGTGTGTGTGTGTGTGTGTGTGTGTGTGTGTGTGTGTGTGTGTGTGTGTGTGTGTGTGTGTATGTGTGCACGGATGTGTGTGTCGATGGTGTGCATTTTTGTGATTGGTGAACACTCTGATCCGTAAACCGCGATACCGGAGCTCCCAAGCTACAGCCTCAGATTGATTTATAGTTCATCGTTGGGAATGAGTTCGCTGCTCATGATGCTGTTGCGGATGTTGCGGCCCTAGCTGAAATTGTCGAAGCTCGCCCTGATGCCAGTATCCTGTAGCACTCTGTCACTTTTGCATCAGCATGTTCGGCGATGGAGTTTGCAGAACATCAGCAAAAGCGGGTGGCCACCCTTCAACCGTTGGTCCAAGCAACGTGCTTCTCTAAGTCAGTTGCAGTGCGGGCAGCTGCAAGTGGGTTGGTGATGAAGCACTTTGTCTTGTCCTACAAACGAAGTGGTGAGCCAGCCATTTCCAGACTGATGAAGGAGCAAGTCGGAGGTAAGAAGCGGGTGACAATCTCAAGGAAGATTATATTAGCGGTGGCTGAACACCTAGCGAAGAACCAGCAGCAACCCAACTGTAAGGAACGCCCTGTGACACAGTGCTTCACTTGTTTGTGCGCACCGTAAAATACCATCATTTTTGCCAGCGTGGGGACACATTTTAGCTCGCATAGTTGAAGAACAAGAGGACTCAATGTTGTCTGATTCGTTCCAACATGTCAGCTTTCATTGTAGTTTGATATGGGGCAGTGCTAAGCGCTATCATAGCTGCATGTACTTGTATCACAACCAAGTGCCAACAGGAGAGTAATCATGGAGAAAAGTACCTATCGATAATGCGTGCACCCAGGATTTTCCGGCAAATTTACTAGTTCAGCTATTCCATCCTTGTATTGTTCTGAACGCCGAGGGCTCTAGTGAGTTTATGCAACACCTAACAGCCAAAAATCCAATAAGTTATGACCAAAGCAGCAGCAGAGAAGTACAAGCAATATAGAGACGTGAATTTACCAATTTTAGGCAAATTTTGACAGTTTTTTGGATTTTTCTCCAGAATATGCACGGTGACCCCTATTTCCGCCACGGTAAACCTGTTCCGACCCACTTATAGAACGTGTTTGAAGTATCCACATATGGGGCAAACTCAAAAATAAGCTGCAAAAAATATTCAAAGTTTCATTTTTTGCGTCTTTTTGTTCTTCTCCAGGAAATGACGACCTGGATCCCATCGTCAACCAAAGTGTACATTTTTCGGTGTTGATATCATCTTAGTCAATACCTCGAACAGTCTGTAAAATTTTATGTCATATTTTCTGTCCTAACTGATGTTATGGACGATTTCTCATCAATTTTGGGATTTTGTGTTATTTTGTGTCATCAAGGAAAATTGTGTTTTTGGCAAGACCTATTCTGGCAATTGAAAAACTGATGTTACTAAGCGAAAATATAAGGCTGTACCTATTCAAACCTGATGTCAGATTGGGCTGATGTTGAAATTAAATTTTTGGGCCTAACTGTCCCGAACCCCCTTAATCCGAACACACTCCGGTAGAAAGGGGGAGCGGGGTGCATTTTCTCTTCCAAAAAGCAGTTGGAATCTCGGATTCGTGTCAGGACAGCCATAAACAGTTAGTCAATGGTGTACTTACTGCCTGTACTGCTGCACTGCTGCACAACCTGTCAATGCAATGCGTGTGCAAATCCTCTGCTACATGCAGATTTGTCACATAGTTTAGCTTCCTTCAGAGCACGAGCTTAAAAATTTGAAATTTGTCTTGCCACAAACCCCCTTCCCGGCGATATAGGTTTGTGTTGCTTTAGGGTGGGTTGGTACATGTCCAGTGCAATTATTTGACTTTTGTGACAGTTGTGGCAAGGAAATGAATCACATTAATTGGTAGATGTGAAAGCAAGAAAAAAGCAAGAAAAATAGTTGCTAGCAGAGGATGGTTTCGATCCATCGACCTCTGGGTTATGGGCCCAGCACGCTTCCGCTGCGCCACTCTGCTGACCATAAACTTCAGGGTAGAAAGTGGGCCCTAGATTTTGTAATACCCACCAAAAGAAAAAGAATTCTAAAAAGATGAAACAGGGCACACTCGGAGTTGAACCAAGGACCTCTCGATCTGCAGTCGAATGCTCTACCACTGAGCTATATGCCCTGACTGGGGGCAACAGCACCAGTATACCTATCTAGGCATCAGGCGATGCCCCCACAATATGGAATACAGAAGTGCACTACATGTACCTTCAGCTGCTGCACACACTTGCAGTACATGTACTTGTATATAGACACCTACAACTACATACACACACACACACACACACACACACGTGCACCCCCCCCCCCCCCCCCCCCCTCAGACCTCCGGCCTCAGACCTGCCCATCGCCGAAGCGATGATAGCGAACGGCTATGATAGAAATAGCAACTTGTGCTGGGATTACACCCCCCCCCCCCCCCCCCCCACACACACACGGTGGAGGAGCTTTACATAATCTGATGTTACCCGCCGGATATGCTTGATGTGCTGCAGGTAATGACATAGATCATCACATGGCACATAGTCTTTCCCAGGATATGGGGGAAACATGGAAGGTTTCCAGATCACCATTTCAGGGTAAGTCAAGAGAAACAGAGGAGAGGCAGGGGCTAATGCGACCTGCGCACACTCTTCCCGTCATTTGATTTCGTGGGACAAGTCCACTTCAGCCGTATACATTGTGATACCAAGTCTGCATTGTGATACCAAGTCTGCATAGAAGGTCATGAACTGGGTACGGTCATGCTCACAATTTGTGTGTGTATGTGTATGTGTGTGTATGACGGTGTGTGTGTGTGTGTATGTGTGTGTGTGTGTGTGTGTGCACATACGTGTGTGTGTGTGTGTATGTGTGTGTGTGTTACTCCACTGCAGGTATCCATGGCGGACAGAGAGAGGTGTTACTGAGACTAAAGGTACGTACAGTACATGTATGATCTATAGTATTGGCCGCTACGCCCTGCCGAAGCTTGATATTCATCTTCGTAGTAAACCTAATCACCCAGTATTCAGTCTATGGATTGACATGATGAGGTTTCTATTTTGTGTCTGTGTGATCACAGGAGGGGCCGATCATGATGATCGGGTTTGCCAATGAACCGCTGGAAATTGAAGACGGTGAGGAACAATGTTTATTCTAGTCTCGGACGGATGGTGCTGCCTATCAGCTATCTTATAACTGGCATTCTGAAGAACTGGACTAGTTGAGCTCCTATTGTCTTTCCAGGCATTGCATACATTGGATCTGGCTGGGGGTTGGGGGTCTGATTTTGATTTGAACTGGTTCTTAGCACTGACGTGTTTGACCTCCAATATGGACACAAAGCAGTGTACTGATCATGCGCAAGTTTCCTCATTGTCTCTACTGCTGTGGATATCAGAGACAGTAGAAACATAGTCTACGGGTGCCTTTGCCGGAGTACACTAACTGTACATGCTGGCAATGGCTGGTATGTGTCCTGGTATAATCAGGCATGGCGGTGGCCTGGCACGAGCGAAACTTCTCTAGACTGGTTGTGTATTTCTCTACACAATTGTAAGCCGGTGATAATGCGGACGTGTGAACTTTACTCTTTTTTTGTCCTAGATAATCATGTGTATGGCATTCTTGGTACTGTAGAAGCAGAAATTTTCGGTGATGTAATATTTTCGGTATTCTCCAAAATCGGCGGTTCGGTGGTGAGAAATTTTCGGTAAACCCGTTTTCCAGGTAAGCATACTAGTACTATACTGAAATTTTCGGTGCGTTATATTTTCGGTAAACATTAGAGAGGTTTTGCATTCCGAATTTCGGAATTATTTTCGGAATGTGGCGGCAGGAGTCGAACTTTCGGAAGTGTGGTGGCGAAAGTGCATGGTTTTCCGAAAATGGATTTTCGGCTCTTTCCTGTTTGGGAGCGCATATTTGAATATTTTTCATGTGTGTATTTTTGTTTTCTGCTGCTCTCGTTGATTATATTTGAAAAGTTTCCACGTGTGTAGTTTTGGTTTTTGCTGCTCTCGTTGACCTCGCCATGTTGACTAGATCTTCTCACACTCCATCACACTCTATCTTCCTTTGCCATGGAGCCTACTGACGGTACAAGACAGTAGTTCGCCAACCTCGTCTTCAGCTGTTGGATCACTTGGTCCACCATCAGTCCGTCCTCGCCTTCGAACCGCACCCAAATTCAGTTTGATCTTCACATGGATTTGATCCTGCTCAGGCAACTCCTATTTTGTGCTCAACCCCTTTGTTCGCGGCTCTGTGGGATCCGAGGAGAATGCCAAAGTTCTAGCCTCGTCTGAGCCAAAGTTTGCTGGTATCACCAGGAAGTCCGTCACAGACCACACGCTGCTGCTGTTGGACTAGCACGCCGCAAAACCGAATTTGCAAGATTCGGACCTAAAAGGTTTTCGGTTTTGGCGCCTTCGACGCTCTCCATTTTGTTTTGCATGGCAACCCTTGGAAACGAAGTCGAATCAGATTTTCGGAATGCAAAACACTGAAAATGCCGTTTTCGGCATGCACATTTTTCGGAAAAGCACAGTCGAAAAACATTCCGAAATTCGGAATGCAAAACCTCTCTATTTCGGCACCGAAGGTACCGAAAATAGAACACCACTGAAAATGTCTGCTTTCACAGTAGTTTGGCCCAGTACCTGGTATTGCGCATGTCACTCTTGGCAACGTTTTCTCTTTCTTGGTGTTGTCCATTTGTACATGACGTGCCACAGTCAGCAAACACCACCGTCACATCACCGGCCTGTATGCATGTGTGAGCGTGGACGAGGCAGCCACCTGGAAGAACTTCCGGCCAATATCCGACGACGGCAAGGGCAGAAAGTAAGCGGCCAGTTTGCACTGCACACACCGGGGTGGTCATATCATTTTCCATCTAGGCAGTCTGGTCTCAGAGTACATCGTGTCTTCTCACCATGGAAGCGTGTAAGGGAACTGTGCCATAGGGTGGCTAGTTGTATGCTGGTGACCATAGCAATGACAGATGGGTTTTTTCTCTGACTGGTCAATGATGACTAAGTTACTAACGTAGATTGCATACAGCTTGACGAGGGCTGTAGCTAGATGGGAAAACTGTCATGGCATGGTATCTCACCTTCAGGACAGTTTCCAATATTGCCCGATGTCTTTGGTCACAAAGACTATGACCGAAAGCCAAGGATTTCAAGTTGTGGGCTCCCGGGAGGCATTTTCCACATCCTTTTACCCCCTTGGCTACATGCATCACTGTCTGAATGTATCCTGAATGCATGTATGGTCTGTTGTCTGAGATGACTAGGCTCTCGAAGGATAGATGCCGATGGCCTCCTACAATAACGAGTGGACCCCACCCCCTGAAGTTGTTTGTAGCAACTTCGGCGGTAATTTTTGTTCCGGGTGGCAGACGTCAGTCAGTCAAGTGTCTCATGTATGGCATGTAGCGTAGGCTCCACGGAGGAGCAACTAACCTCATCCTTTTTCTTCTTTTTCTTTTTCAAAATAATCATGGCAGATGTTTACTTGTACATGCACATGTACATGCATGCTAACTGTACCCGTAGTCATCTCATTACTTACCGGTCTACACAATGGTGTTCCTGCTGCTATTGCCCGGGTGATTACTGCAGAGTGGAGACGCTGGACGGCAAGCTGTTTGAATTGAGCTACAAGGAAGGCGAGCCGCTCGGATACATGTCGGCCCGTCAGAGTCCCGTGGATGGCATGGTACACGTCATCTCCAGTCGCCAGTACTATCGGTTCAACGTTGACTGGCTGCTGTCGCTGCCGCCAGTGCCACCCAAGTGAGCAGAGTGGCCAGCGATACAGATTCACAAACCCGTGTATCCATGTACATGTAGTTCACTACTGATAGTATTACTAGTGAAAACTTCCAAGATGTTGTTTCTAAACGAGCCTGAAGTGTGTTCTTCTTCTTAGTATTCCTTCACTGTTGTTGGATTTTTTTTTGTATTCTACATTACTGGTGGAGTATATTTATCAGGTGACGAGAACCTTGAGTACACCTACTTCAGAGTATTTTCTAACTACATCAGTCTCATTTTATTATACAGTCATCGTGAGGTTGTTGCCTGCGCACTCCTTGTCACGGGTTGATTTTTGGAGTTTGTGCTGAGGCGTGGCTCACTGTTTAGCGGAATGGGTCAGCACCAGTGAGTACTAAAAAACGGTGTTTTAGTACTCACTGGTCAGCATCATGCTGAGCGGCGATAGTGCCGGTGGTGGCGCTGGCTGTCTGGACCGGGGTGAGATCTAAATGCAGCTAGCTTTGCCGGCGCTGGACCGTTACACAGTTGCTGCGGGCTAGTGATGCCGGTTCGTTCAACAATCGGCATCGACATCACTGAGTTTCCCATAAAACTCTTATTTTCCTAGGCTATGGCCACTCAATTTATTTGTAGGTACATCGGTCAGTATTTGTGAAAGCTGTTGCAGCGGCCGGCATGATACTTGCTTATTGATATGTTCAGGAGTTTAGCATGGTTTTAAAACTTACCGTTTGCGAGCTCTTCAACATCTTGATGATTATGGTCGGCGTTGCACTTCCCTTTTCCATGTTTACCCTATGGGTGTAACCGTAAGTAGTGGCCGTGTTGAAGTGAAAAGTTAGTTCACTGAACACCTGGCAATCATTGGCATTCATCATCGACATGGGGGCCTACAGTACAGGCCTACGAGTACGAGGCTACGTGCTTGCAAGCAAAGCATCGGAGTTGTCATGATCACGTTACCATGATTACCGCACCACGTGGTTCAAACGTGCCACACGTCTAGTTTGAATTGAGCTACAAACATAATCATGATAATCGAATGAAGAAAGAATTACTTACAGTAGAACGGTCACTGAGTTAGCAGTAAGAAGACGCAGAAAGAAATTCAGTCTCCTCTTTGCTGGTCTAGCTCCTGGGTGGTGGATAGAATTGACGTTGACGACCTTCACGTGGTGTATCTTTTGCTTGGAGAAAGGCAAAAATAATTATGAACTTGTAAGTCGCGTTCTGCATTATCTGTACTAGTAGTAATTTTCTTTCCATCTTTGTCGAGAGATTTAGTATAGACATAAAATGGAGGCATCTATATGTACCCTGGATTTAAATGTCGGTAGTGTTGTTCTAGGGCCTTTCCTGTTCCGATTTCATGCACTGGGGGTCATACAATACACTATGATGTGGCTTCAGCATGGGAGAATGAGAAAAGCAGCAAATGGGAACAATACAATACATAAACTTTATTTCCACCACGTCTGCGAGAGAACACTGTAGCTTTAGTGTCTGGCAGTGCATGGTTGTAGCGATGTGGAAGTCAGCTAAAGCCTATGGCACACTGCAGTACTACGCACGCGGCCGGTGAAGCCCGGCCTGGTACTCCATGTAGCAGATAGTAACAGCCTCTGGGCTGCACGGCCGAAGCGCTTCTAATACTTCGCCGTGCATTGAACACTGTTTTCTGTTCATGAAGTTGGACCTCACTCGCCATACACATGTATCTGTAGAAAGGCACTAACTCTACAGCATCACGGGTTTGGGTTAGAACTTAGAAAACCAACTGAAAGATTATAATCTGTGTGAGCCTTTACTTGAACCGTAAAAACATTCTTATTTTTCATGTAACCCTTCACACGATGCCAGTAGGTTGTGGTGGACAACTGTTTATAGTTGCATGCTGTGGACCGAGAGACGTGCGTACTGAAATATTGGAGACCTGAGCACGCCGAACAGCCGGGACGCCTGCGCCAAGCGAACAGCGCGGTCCGCATCCACCGTTCCGTCAGCAGAGAGCACGCTGCCAAGGTACCAGAACCTGTCCGCCATGTCAATCTGGCTGTCACCTTCGAGTTTAGCGGGATCAACTGGTGTTGGTTGACCCACCGCCATGCCCTTCATCTTTCTAATGCTGACAGTCAGTCCCCATCGCTGTGCGCACAAGATGAATTCGGACGTCATCCACTCGAATCCCTCTCTGGTGGTTGCATACAGTGCCGCATCAGGGGCGAACTGGGACTCCGTCACTCTCGTCGTGGATAACCAGAATTTTACCGTGCGGTCCCCAACCAGCTTGCGACCGTTTCTGAATAGTAGGTCAACTCCAGCGTCTGGACAACGTGCGCGCCAGTTCGCAACCACCACGCTGAAATACAGGTTGAAGAGAGTGGGTGCTAGGGTACATCCTTGACCCAGCCCATTAGTTACCGAGATGTTGTCGGAAAGCTTACCGTTGACTCGCACCTTGGCAATCTTACCCTCATGAAGGGGCTTAATGAGGCCCAACATAACCGGTGGAATGCCCAGCCTATCCAGCACACTCCAGAGCGCTGTGCGGGGGATGGAGTCATACACCTTCTGGAGATCCACAAACAAGATGTAAAGAGAGGTGCTGTGCTCAATGGTCTTCTCCAATAGTTGACGGGCACAGAAAATCATGTCCGTGCAACCTCGACTTCGCCGAAAACCGCACTGAGAATGTGGTAGAATCTCCTCAGCCACAACCTGCAAACGATCCTGTATAACCCGGGCAAACACCTTTCTAGCGACATCCAGCAAACTGATGCCCCGCCAGTTGTCGCAGCAACGAAGGTCGCCTTCCTTAGGGACAGGGATCACCACCGCATTCCGCCCATCATCCACTGCTGAACCCTTGGCCCAGATGTTGCCCAGGAGTTGGTGGAAAGCAGCAAGAAAGTCGACTCCAGCATGGACAAGCATGTCTGGCAATATGCCCGATTCACCGCCAGCTTTACCGAGGCTCAACTTCTTGAGAGCACGGCCAATTTCTTGGTGCGTGGGTGGGTTATCTAACTCATGACGGGTAGGACGGCGTTCCAGGGACTCCAGCAAACTATCGGAAGACTGGCTTGTGATATCACACACACACACACACACACACACGCACGCACGCACGCACACACACACACACACACACGCACGCACACACATGGATGTGTATGGGTGACTGCATGGTCTATGTGGGCTGACGCACATGCAAGCATGTGTTAGTAGCCTGAAATTAGTGTCCTGAAGAATGTACACTACATGATTGTACTGTAAGACATGTAAATAGAACGAGGAAGTAAATCTAACGTTTAACTAGTGACATTTCTTCGTTAAAATAAGTTCTGTTGAGGCTGTAATGCCCCATATGTGTTATGTGCGGATATGCCTGAAGACTGCAAGATCGTTAACCTATCTTCTTGTTAACCTATGAATTGGGGACAATCGTTAAAAAAATTGCGACTCGTATAACAACATGTCTTACAGTACCAACAATCCGCATACTTGTAGACTCTATGTACAGTACTGTCAGTCTCCGAAGAACTGGGGAGAGTGGTCAGCCTCGCAGCGTAGACCGTTCTTGTTTTCATGCACTACAATCTATGCACGGTTTTAGTCGCCATGTGTACATTGGTATGCTGTGATTGGTGGAATTCTAGCCTGCTCGTTCTTCAGCACCCGACAGTACTGTAATGTGTTTCAGTGGGCTTTTTTGACACATGGGCTTACGTACAATTTACATCGCAGATCCACGGAATTAGGGGGTTTCTGTACAGATGTGGAAAAATACAGATGGTTCACAGCTCTGCTGAAAAGGCTCAGTGCATGAAAATATCCTGCTAAATAGAAGTTTTGCTAATGACCTCGCCGTAGGTGCTTTGTGTGGAGTGGCAAGCCAGTCCTGAGTGCGTGTGATCAATGTGATGCCACTCCAGACAAAACACCTCAAATGATGATGTAATGGAATGACATCACTGTACGTGCTTTGTACATGTAATTGTATTGAATGGCGATTTGGCGAAGCAGTGCTCGTGATGCCACTTCATACAAAACACCTCAAATGACTATATGTAATGGAATGACACCATCACAGATGGTTTGTAGGAGTGGCAAACCGGTGCCTGTGATTCCACCCCAGACAAACACTTCAATTGAGGATGTTATCATATACTAGTAACCTCTGTGCCGACGACACACATTTTCTTCTCCTGTATGTGCTGAACATGTAGGTCATCTCGTCGTCGTGCTCGGCCGGAGGATGCGTCCAAGAAGGTGGCCGACGAGGTGGTGAAGGCTCAAGTTCGCAAGCAGCTCAGCACCACGCTGGATGCAACTCTGGGGTGAGAGTGCAGTGAGTGAAGCATTCCCCAACCTACACTATAGAGTGATTTCACAGCTGTGTCATGTGACTACGTTTGTGCAAAAAGTGACCATGTCATGTGGACAGTGGAGCCAAGATGGCCAACATCATGTGACCCATAAATATAGGGATTGAGTGGATTTGGAACCAACATGGCTGCCCTCCAGATGGTCATGTGAGAGATATGAAACCACTCTGTACGCTATTGTGGTTGTGTAGCTTTCTGGCAATTGCTTGTACACATGAGAATTGAATTTACAGCTAAGTAACTAGCGTTCTTTGTTCCTCTATGCCATAACTTCTTTTTTTCTTCATTTTTGCTGCTTGAATTTGCTCCCAAGACAAGGCCGGGACTTTGAAGTGAACTCCTCGCTCAAGTCCTATGCGTCAAGCGTAGCTGGCACTCAGTCACTGCATGACTATGAGCAGCGGCGTGGCGCGGAGGAGAGATTGGATGAGCTACGCCGCGCTGGCCTCACCGAGCATGAGATAGGGTAAGCCATTGCCGCGCACGGTGAGAACCACTTCAGCTGTGTTGCATTTTGCACTGAACAAGAGCATATGTAATGTGTGTGTTCCTTTGGTCTGGGTTTTCGCACTGACTTTGACATTGACTTTGACATGGATATGTGAATGTTATTATAGTAGTCTAGTGGGCCTACACTGTTCCGTGTTTTGTTTCATTTCTGGATCTCGCCGCCGGAGATGTGTCAGCTGTAGGCAAAGCACACTCCACATTTGTAGAGTGTTTTTTTTCTCATCACAGCAGTCCCAATTCCTTTCGGGTCAGAATCGCACCGGAATGGATATGATATCAATTACTGATTTTCCTGCATTGTCGTCAATTGTTGCTGTTCCTTTTTTTTGCACATCTCTATTCAGGCTGTTCTTGCAGCATGGGCTGGATGGCGGTAGAGATCATGCTATAGCGGTGAGGAAGACATACTTAGCTAAGCATATTCTATCTGCCACATGAGCCCTGGACGTTGCTCTTCTACCTTTCACAATAATAAATGGATTTCCGAACCTCTAGCCAGGTTTACTTGTTCTCTCTCTCTTCCTCCCATCCTCCCTGCCTCTCTTGTTCTCATGCCCTCGTCACAACGTGTTCTGCTGTGTTACGATATATATTGTGTGGCTTCTTTCTGAAGCTTTTCTCAAAGAGAATGCGAGTAGCGGTATAGAGTGAGACACCCAGGGTATTATTTATGCTAGCGTTTTGGTTGTCGAGCTTTACTACAATCATGTGATGGTCATCCCCCCCCCCCCCCGCCTCAGGCGCCAAGAATAATCTTGTATTTCATGTTACGTATCTTCATGAATCTTGTTGTAGGACAGTTGGTGTGACCGTACGTGATCCTTGTGAGACCGTGTGAGACCCACACTGCATTATACACTGCATCGCTCTCATGTTCTCTTTCTCACCCCGTGTGTTGGCAGGCGGCCAAGAAGTCACGCACCGTAGCCACGGATGAAGCGGTGCGGTCACGACTTTCCCTGATCAAGGAGGTAGGTTGGTGTGTGGCTTGTTGACAGGATATCCAGTCCAGTTGGAGAAGACGTGTGTAGTAGTAGGTACATAGGAGCAACCAAAAATGGAGAACACCTGCTGGAAGTGCATCATGCTGTGAAAACTCAGTAGTATATCTCCTAGCTGCACAGGCCGTACATCACTTTCTACTTGTAGTCTCTAGTAGACTATGGCCAGTGCCCAATGGTGTAAGTCTGTGCTCTGGTCAAGTGAGACAGCTAGGTTGTGGGTGGTCAATTGGTCATATAAGTGTTACATGAACTTACATCAAAAGCAAAAATGAGCGGCGACCTATTCTGCAGGACATGGCATCGGGAAGGGTATCGTTCTATGAAGGGCATGGTGTGGCACTGTACAAGATGGGCGTGGAGCACCACAGCTAAGCATGTTAACATTGTCTGCTCAACATGACGACTGTACATGTGCCAGCGAAGTGAAAATCAAGTGAAGAAATTGGCGCTGAGCGCGCGAGCAACTGCATGTGGGGAAAAAACAGCAGTCACCAACACTGGCAGTACGCTGAGGTCTTGTGAGTAAGAAGGGTGCTCCTAATGGAACACTGGTTTGTCTCGCCCTCGCGCCATTCAATGTCTAGTCCTCAGTTGCACTGTTGATTTATTCGGTGCTAATTTCTTCTCTCTATGTGCAGTCAGTGTTTGCTCTTCAGTGTATCAACATGATCTGGCTCCCATTTTTTTTCCTTTCATTATGTTTTCTATATGCAGAAGCTGTCCAGCAGGTCTGATTCGAGTTTAAGCTCTTGGCAACTTGACCTTAGCAATTCAGCAGAAGATAATGAAGATACTGACCGCTCTGGAGCAGGTATGTCTGCATGTTCGAATACGTGGTGCTGTGTGTCATCTGCGAAGGATGGAGCTATGCTTTAGTGTTTAGATGTCATCTCTTTACGTTTGTTTAGTTGCCTTTCCTGGAATAGTTGTTGAGGCATTGTCTATTTTAGTCCTCGAAGGCAAGTAGTGTAGCAAGATTGCTGCTGTACAATACATAGTACAGCACACAGTACAGTATACACCTTATACAGGGCAGGGCAGCACACAGTACAGCATACACAGTAAAGTGTACAGCATACACAGTACAGTGTACAGTACAGCATACACAGTACAGCATACACAGTACAGCATACACAGTACAGCATACAGTACAGCATACACAGTACAGCATACACAGTACAGCATACACAGTACAGCATACACAGTACAGCATACACAGTACAGCATACACAGTACAGCATACACAGTACAGTGTACAGTACAGCATACACAGTAGAGGGGACGGTTTCAAATAGGACACAGGTTGCAAACCGGAACGGACTCAATATTGACTTTCTCTCTTGGTATTTTGATTAGAAAACATATGTCACAGTTAGACTACGATGTGTTATACTCCAAGCCAAAATTTCATGGCTCTGCGATGACCAGAAGCGCCATATGAAGCACGTGAGTTTTTGACGTGTTGCTTCGCACTGCAACTTGAGTTTTACGACTTTCGAAAAATCAACTTCTTGTCGCAGGTAAACAGCGGCTCGCCTCTCGCCAATAAAGCACCGCATACCAATCAAAACTAATGGAAGCACACACAAGGCTTATTGTTACTCTGTACTGGCCGTCGTGGAGCAATAGCAATTACCTAATTTCAGACCCAGAGTGAATTTGACGTGCACTCTAAAACGTGTCCGGTTTGGAGCCACCTCTGATTTGAACTTTTTTGAAGCGAAAAATTGGGCAACTTGGAGGCAATGGGTCAACACAAAGGAGTGGCTCAGTTCGATTGACTCTGGCCCCAGAGCAAACTTCAACATGCCAGTTTCCTTCCACAAACATATTTCGAGTGAAAAATCAACGCTGATGATCGGTTTGGGTCTATACAAATTTGGCTGTCAAAACGTCCCGGTATCGAGCCGTCCCCTCTACAGTGTACAGTGCAACGTTGCATGCAGCCCATTTTCTTTAGCTATAGATGACTTACCGCCTGCAAACAACGCTCATATGGCAGAGTACATTTGCCAGGCAGTGAATATACTACTTCATAGTAGGTATGGTAGGAGCACTCACACTCACATCTCCTCCCTGGGCGTGCACCAGTATCTAGCGTATCAGTATCTAGCACGTTACCAGTGGGATTTCACTGACTCTAATTTCAGAAATTTTAGGTCCTCAATATATTCGGTATGAGGGCAAAAGGCCAGGTTAGGTGAACAGAAATTTTAGGTACAGAGAAGCAGTTCCCTATTGGATTATGTGTACTGTTGAAACGATCTCACCGGGTACTCGGTAGCTCGCTCGCCAGAAACTCGGCTCGTTTGTGCGGCCAGCTCGTTTGCACCAGAGAGTAGTACAATACCGTATTGTACTACTCCCTGGTTTGCACTAACGAACACCGTACTCCGTACACATTGCAGTACACGTTGACCGGGGAGTCGTAGGATATTTTACTACTCCCTGGTCGATCGAGAGTCCAGTCCCACGCAACGTGAAAATCACTCGCAGTTACAGCAAGAGTCCATAAACAATGTTTATGCATTCTTGGTTACAGTGACTGTATACCTGCACGGCACTGTGGTGTTTCACTTTCAGTTGTTGTTGCAGCTTTTGAGGACTCCACTGATGTCTTGTTCCGCATCTGCCGACCTGTCGCAGGACATGGTTTTGTCAACTCTCCATTCGAGTGAAAGTTACGCTCAGGCGTTTGGAAGTTTTCTCCCGCGATGCAGCGAAGAACAGGGCTACTTGCAATCTTTGAAAATGGTCTTTTCTTTCAAAGGCTGCTCAACGATGGCGCTGAAAAGACATCTCGACACCAAACAGCAGTCCGAAGTGAAGCAGCAGCAACCCCGAATGCCGGCGGTGATAATTTGAACCAGCTGAAAAAAATCGAACTTAGAAAAAAATATTTAAAAATCATATTTGCCACATCAATGAAACTCGTTAGCTCGCTCGCTCGATACCTTGCTCATTAGTGGGACTGATCGCCCGTTTGTTATAGATACGCTCATTTCAACACTAATTATGTGTGTTAGTGTTTGTTCGATGTATTGAAATTTTAGGTATGAAACATATGCATCGAAAGTACCGAAAATAAAAGTACACCGAAAATTTGTGAAATTACAGGTACATGATTATAGGTACTGTAAAAGCCATAATAGTAACTACAGGCTGTGTGCAGGCTCAAACATTCCCATACATTTCGTGTCGATAAGTCCTCAAAGTTTTGTATGATCCTGTTCTTCGTATGGCTGCAAAATATCTGAAAAGACACTTAGAAGATTGACCGTAGCTTTGTCAAAAATTGAGATAATTCAGCTCTGTTTTTTGCATCGTTTTCTGCATGAAACCAGCTTTCTTCTGATGTTTAGAGCTCGGTTTGAGTAAAAAAAGCCATTTGGTCCCTTTTCTCATCACAGGGCTCATATAACGAAGTGCTAAATCTAACGAGTTAACGAGGAGAAATCTGTCGTTAAAATAGAAATCATTATACAGAAATCGATACATAGACTGTCCTATTGAGCGTTGAGAATGAGTGAGAATCGTTACCTTTGTTACACGTAAACTAGTCAATTTTGGGAAATCGTTATATATGCGCCTCGTTAGAATAATGGCTTTTACAGTAGGTGATTGCTTCCCACTTCGTTTCACCTGACTTAACTGCGTTTTTCAAGGATGTTTATCAACAGCTTCCTGGCAACAAGCGACACCGTGTGTAATTTGTTTGTTTGCACAGAGAACACCAGTGCTAGCAAAGCAACATTGATGTGGAAGCCACCAGAGGAAATCATGAGGTCAGTACAGCTGTTGATGTATGCATGGCTGGAACATGTGATTTACTGTAGGTCATATTAAACTATCGTGCTTCTGCTCTGTATAACTGTGATGCGTTCAGGCAACGTCTGAGCATCATCACTGTTGCTCTCTATCCGCCTATGGTATCCGCGTATGTTATAATTGTCGTATCATGCGTAAATGAATGTGTGAACTGTGTACATGCGCTATGTAGCATCAGACAGACAGATGGGCGGACATAGAATTTCTTCGATCTGATATCAATGTGTCTTTGTTTGTGCTGTCATTATTTCAGCCAAACTAGGAGCAGCTCTGTGCAAGCTGCATCGGCACCAGAGGTAGACTCCTTTGTTCCGCCGACTAAGTCTGGCCAAGGTCCTGGCAACAGCAGTCTCCTACCGCAGTGGCAAGAGGTGAAGCATGTCCGTCCAGCGGGCGTTGTGCTACCCAAGACGGCAGCTGCACTCACGCCACCGTTAACTGTGACGCGCGAGGAGATAGAAGTTGGCCGGATGTCCGTCACCGCCATTCGACAGTTGCCAAAGTTTGAGAATTACGAGCCGGGCGAGCCTAATCAGGTCAGTTTATCAACTGCTCAAATTGCTACTTTGAGTGAGTTTGTAATTACACACATATCCTCATTATGCAAGTACCGTATTTCCCCCGAATATGAGTCGCACCTTTTTACACTAAACTTTCAAGGGCAAAGAAGGGGGTGCGACTTACAATAGGGTGTGACATCCTACTTATGTGGATATATCGAAACAATATGGCTCAAACCTAAAAGTGGGGTGCGACTTATAATCGAGTGCGACATAATCGGGGAAATGCGGTAAGTGTGTTTCCGTCAGGTGACTGACACACATGGCTACAGGGGCCGACCGTGCACTACTTTGCCAATACATGTAGTATGTGCTCGGACGGCTGGGCCCTATGTCAACACCTCCGCTGTAAAGCCACTGATCGGTACTGTCACAACACTCAACAGTTACGCAGGCAGGAATTGTTGTTGGCTCGAAAAGCACAAAAGTGTGCAACGTGCACGATACGAAGAAGAAACAAGCAGAAGCTGTATCACTTCCAACAGAGAATACATTATACTGCAATGAACCAAGGCAAGAAGGCAAGAGCACAGGAGACTACTAGAACACTTCCAGTAACTTTTAAAGGAAGCTAGTGGCACTCCACGGCATGAGTATGAGGTCATGAATGGATAGATTCAGATACCAGAAAAGGACCATGTGCATGTCCAAGTCTGACTGCGGCACAAAAAGACGTACAACGGCCGAGTCCGAACAAAAGGAGTCCAGACGAGGCAATCCGTGGTGCATGGAGACTGACCAGGGCTACCAAGAGTACATCCCATATTTTCTGAAATTTGGGTCCGTCTTTTATTACTGCCAGGTCCCTGCACCCTCTCAAGGAGTTCAATACAACCGATTCACTACAGTAGTATTGTGATGATGATGCGCCAATTCGGGGCCTAGAATATTCCCACAAATAATAGACCAGCCTACTTGTTTTCCAACCAGGCCATACCCTGGTCTTACATGCAAGCAGAGTCTTTTAGTGTTGTGATCCAGTGTTGTCTGAGAACTGAACTGCATGCACGAGTGGATATGTGCCCTGCTGCCCAGTATGGTGATCACGATCAGTGTGAAGTTAGCTGCCCAGTCATCTGCATGCTTGCTGGATTCATTTGTATTCCTTTTATTTTTTAATTAACTGTCCATTCTGTTCCCGGGTCTTGTTGACTGATCACTTTACTAGTAATTTAAGGTGTGATCATGCAGAAGGTGCGCTCGACTTTGCATGTCTGTAGAAATCTGAGTAGTTTGCTGTCCGCACGCTAGGTCTATTGTACACCAGGCCTATCGTTCGCTAGCGGCCTGTGGCGCACTATTTCAGCGCAATGGCGGAGCACAGCACGCGAGTCGTCGCCAATCAATGGCTGCTATATGGCCCAAGCCGGCGGGGCGATCAACACTCCAGTTCCTTGTCTCCACATGATTATGTGGAACTTGCTCTCTAACCATGCCTATGAGATGTCTACAACTATAGTGCCGGTCCTTTCCAGGTTGCCATTCCGCAAATCATGTCTTCCATGTCCCCTGTAGAATACTACTGTAGACTGAGTAGGTAGCACACAGGCACAACCCATCCGGTTGCTCACACCATGGTCGGTACTGTAGAGGTAGGTAGCACACAGGCACAACCCATCCGGTTGCGCACACCATGGTCGGTACTGTAGAGGTAGGTAGCACACAGGCACAACCCATCCGGTTGCGCACACCATGGTCGGTACTGTAGAGGTAGGTAGCACACAGGCACAACCCATCCGGTTGCGCACACCATGGTCGGTACTGTAGAGGTAGGTAGCACACAGGCACAACCCATCCGGTTGCGCACACCATGGTCGGTACTGTAGAGGTAGGTAGCACACAGGCACAACCCATCCGGTTGCGCACACCATGGTCGGTACTGTAGAGGTAGGTAGCACACAGGCACAACCCATCCGGTTGCGCACACCATGGTCGGTACTGTAGAGGTAGGTAGCACACAGGCACAACCCATCCGGTTGCGCACACCATGGTCGGTACTGTAGAGGTAGGTAGCACACAGGCACAACCCATCCGGTTGCGCACACCATGGTCGCACCAACCTTTTGGCCACTATTAATTAAACATGTGTTTACTGCTTAAGGGGTCATGTGTATACCCTCTGGCATATCATACACCAACTGTATGAAAGGCTAGGGTATGGCAGGACCAATCAAAACTGGCTGGTTCCGCCGGTCCTGCCACACAACAGTACTGTCGGGCGCCGAAGAGCTGGGGGGTGGTCAGGGTTCTAGCCTAGCCCGTTCTTATTTTTAGCGAACATAGCAGTTTTGTTCTCGTTCGATGGTACAGTCTTACATGTACATGTATGCAGAGTTATACGTCTGAGTGTACAATATAGTGTACATTCCGGTTTCCGTTCTTATCTGCAAGAAATACAGCCTAGACATTAGTCTTGCTTTTTGAATATCGCGTTCATCTCTTTGTCTCACTTATTATTACGTCCACAATCGTGTGGCTCCCTGGCTCACTCGTTACAATACGATTATGTGTCCCACATGCTAGTAGTTCCTTTTTTTGTTTGATTTCATACCTGTGACCAGAGTAACCACCCGGTATACATCGTTAGCATTTATCGTTCACCCTAACAACTTCGACCGTCGGCCTGTACCGGTTTTTAAAAATGTTTTCAAGACATGATTAGCATTTAGGTTTCTGACATAACGATCGGCTTGTGACGTCACCGTAGTCAGTTGAATCTACTTCTGAAGTAACCGTTTCGTTCTCCCGCTAAACAGAGCCTTCTATCGTCAAAACGATACCGAACCGACGGTATTTTGGGTGCTGGGTACGAGTACCGTTGGATGTAGCGTTAACGGTAAAATGCCAACCACGTCTAACAACAACAACAGCAGCAACAGCAGCAACAGCAACAACCATGACGACGACTATGACCACCCCGACCACTACCACGATGACAACACCAAAATTTAAAGTAATTTACTCCGCAATTTCACCTAACCATGCATATCATGTGTACGTGTGTGTGCGGCTGGACGTGCGCGCTCGAATTTCTGGTTTTACGTGCTCCACTGATATGAGAACTGGTATGAGCAGCTCACAGTGTACAAGCGCTGTTGCTCAAGCTTTGCGTCTGTGTATCGACTGAGCTGAGCTGACTAATCAGCCGATTTCCCCCCCCCCCCCCCCACTGTAGTGTAGTGTAGTCTGGTCTCGAGCTCATCTTGAGAGTCGTCCACACTACACTAGTGTAGTGACTACGCTCGTATTGTCACTACAGTCATACAGTCATACTCGTATATGTTGTTAGTTGACAGCATGTAACAAGGTGGAGGACACGGTGTTCGGAAACAGTGATCTTGCTACAACCATTCACGGTTGGTAGAGCCCGGGTCGGTTGCGACCATCTGAACCGTATGGGTGTTAGACCCGGATCTGACCCTCTCTATTCTAGGAGAGTTGTCTTAGACTGACGGTGACGAGAAGTCTAAAACAACCCCCCCCCCCCCCTAGAACAGAGAGGGTCAGAGCCGGGTCTAACACCCATACGGTTCAGATGGTCGCAACCGACCGGGGGCTCTACCAACCGTGGATGGTCAGTTTAGAAAGGTCACTGTCACCGAACACGGTGTCCTCCACCTTGTTACAACTTTCATGCTGTCAACCAACATGTTTGAACAAAACAAGGTTTATCTAAGGGGTCGTCGCAAAAAATTTTTGTCGTCCCTGAAACGAACATGATTCATTTGGGGGGGAGGGGGTGCGAGCCAAAATCGCAAGTCGACCGACACTGTACATATGACATGTACATGCATGCGATTTTCGTCGTCCAGCATAGCAAGCTGTGTTCGTTTCAGAGGGAGGGGAGGGGGTCCGAGTACGAAATGAACGATGTTCGTTTCAGGGACGACAGAAAACTTTTGCGACGACCCCTTATACCAGACTACAGTCATGTAGCCCTTTTTTCTTTTACAAACTACGCAACTCACCGGCAGGCACATGGGATATGCCATATGGGGCTAGCATGGGGTGAGCTGAGATGGTGCTGGTGGGGCTTGCCATGCTCAACGGACCAGAGGTCTCGGCATCTTCACATGGCAGGCTCAGCCGCTGTGCTTGTAAGTAGTTGTAGTTGTAGGCCTAGACCGTGATCATGGCGATGTAGCCGTTTCTAAAAACGCGTCGATTCCTGGCATGAAGCCCGAAGGACAGTGTAACCACGGAACTACAACCGTTGTGCAAGTGATAAGGCCACCTGGAATTAATTCGTTGTTTCGGGTCACTTCACTCATCCGTACCAGGGTCGGTCGGTCGGTTTATTTTTTAATTTAATTTTTTTTATTTTGGTTACTACTATGTACATGATGTACATGTACATCATGTACATGTATGTGCATACATGATTGTACAATTGTGCATATCGAATAGCTTTTGTCCATCAAGCCAGTCGATCACATCTAGCTGTAGACGATCCAGCGCAGTCATTGTGCCAGCAGATCCAGGTCCCCTCCAGGACCAGATCTTGGCCTCGCTGGCAAACGAGTGTGACGAGCAGCTCTCGCCTTGAAAACTTCTGTCACTGATGAGCGACGCAGTGGCGGAGTAGAGCTACTGATGCTGTTTCAGGACTGATTGTGGATCGGAGATAATAATAGAAGACAACGTCGTCACCAAGCGCTGCATCCTGTCATTTGGCTGCTTCTGAGGTCGATGCCTGGACTGCTATTATAATATAGGGTCGCATGTGTACATATTCTACTTTTTCTAGCCATGTACATGACATTTGCATGCACTCTAAAAAAAAACATTTTGCGGTCGGGTGAAAAAAGACGGTCGGTCGGGTGACCCGAAACAACGAATTAATTCTGGGTGGCCTTTATTATAGTTTCTCTGGGAAGCGCACTTCGCGCTTGCAGCGCATGCAGTGTCAGACTCGACAATTACAAGGTCACATCTTGTTGGGCCATGGGGCGCATCCGTTTCCTCGCAGGCGCTTT